TAAATAATTAATATATATATATATATATATATATATATATATATGTATATAATTTTTCTTAGATCAAGCCGACAATGTTATCGCGCAACTCGATACTCCCTTGAGATAGCGACGAAATAAAATCGATCGGTATTTCTTAGGATCTAATGACAAAATTCGGCACCACCAACCGAAGTTGAAAAACAAATCCTTTGGCCGAATATAAATTTGAAAATGATTTTGTTGGGCCATCAAAATAATTATGTAGAGTCTCCAGTTGATTGCTAGAATATTAAAGATTTTTGCAGTCATCATGTTTAAATGATTTGTCATCATATTTAAATGGTTTCACATAATTGGATGTCCCAAAAAAAATTATTTTCAAATCTGTATTTTGCCAAATTTTTAGGTAAAACCATTCTTCCGTGATTTTCGTAAAAAATTCATAAAAAATAAAATTCATAAAAAATAAAATTATCAGTTTAACGAGATTTCTGATCAATTTAAACAGAAATCTGTAATTTCAATTAGAATTTCTGATTCGCTTATTTTGAAACAGAACTCTGATCAACCGAACTATTTTTCCCGATTATAATATTTATACGTGGCGAGGTAGATTGTAGTGGAAATTACGCGGATATTATTCCCTAAGTGAACGAATTTTCATACTCACCTCGCTGCACCCACCCCACTGCCAGTTGTTCGGACGCCGCGCTCTCACGCGATTGTCGCAGGAGCAATCGGTGAGCTCGCCTCTGGAGCAGGCCCTCGTGACACTGTAAACGACCCCGGCTGCTGATATGGCGTATATAAACGCGGCCTCTCGGCTATCTGCAAAACGGCGCGAGATTTTTTTAGTCCCAAGTCGAGTCTCACTTGTAGTACTTGATGACCACAAGTGCAGGGTGCGAACATAAACTCACGCCGAGAGAAAGAGAGAGAGAGAGAGAGAGAGAGAGAAGAAAAGCGACACATCCGGCACGTCAGGCATCGAACCGTGAATACTTACTGACTAGCATGACGCCGCCAAATACGTTCTCGGGATTTTCCGGGCTGACGGAACAGTTCCATCTCGCTGATCTAAACTGGTGCTGACACTCCTCTATGGCGAGCCTAGCGCCCGCTCTGACTGCCTGCAAGCGTTAAGACGGTGAAAGCTAAGAGAATCAAAAAAGAAACGCCGCTCTTGGATACCCTCGAGCGAGCCGATCAAACAAACACTCCCCACTTTTTAACGTTCTCCGATTCGGGAGGTTGATTTGTGACGCGCGCGTGTAAAAATTGACGCGCGATAAAAGGTCTTGTCGGCGGCCGACGTCCAAGTTTTTGAGAGATTCTTAAGGACGAGATTCGTTACTGTGAGAAATTTGCAAATTTATTGCGTTAATATATCAATGTCCACTTAACTTTCTATTCTTTACTCACAATTTACCGATCAGCTTTCTCTCCTTATTTTACGAGTGTGAGTCACCATTTAAAAGCGTTCTACTACCGGGAATTATCGTCTAATATCTAGTCGCGATAAGAAAAATCGTCAGCTTAAGCGAAAACGTGTAGCGCGCTTTAATAAACCGTAAATCGCGGCCAGCTCGAATGTGGCGAGTAATCGTGGATGTCAAACATTCCGTAGATCATTGGAAAGCGTTTAGCTTTCCGTGTCTTAATGGGTTTGGTCGCTCGTTAAAAAATTAAACTTCGATACCCGGATTGACATATGAATATTCATGCTCGGGGCCCCCTTTTGTCGGTGACTTACACTCGGAAAAGCGGCACTGCCGCTGTCGGCGATATTCAAAGAGATATCGTGCCCGGAGGTTCCCCAGGTTTACCTAGGTACCTCGATAGATTCCTAGACGACCGGTCCTCCTCCTCCGCTCACCCTCCCCCCCCTGACACGTTTTGTGCATTAAGGAAAGGTAAACGCGATTTCGGGATGGCGTGAACCGCACGACGTCCGGCCCGTTTTGTCATGGGCAACGCCGAGATTAAATCACGCGATGCCGATCGGCGAAACAAATTTGTTCCGCTTAGAAAGTTCGTACCTACCTATTGTATCGTCGCGAACGCAGCGGCAAATCTTTGGATCCCGCACAATGTGCGTCCCGCCGCGAGAGCTTTCTCTATCCCGATTGAGGGTTTACAATCAGATTTACAGAGAGAACATCCGTTAATTACACAAAGAAAGTAGTATACCAAAATTCGTTGCTAAATTCATCTAGATTTTGTGTGTGTGTGTGTGTGTGTGTGTGTGTGTGTGTGCGCGCGCGCGCGCGCGCGCGTGTGTGTGTGTGTGTGTGTGTGTTATATATGTATAAAGTCTCGCGAAAATCGCAACAAGTAGAACATCGAGACGGGAGAATTCGGATCTCTGGTGGCGACTCCGTAAATTCCCGGGAGATTAAACTCAGATTTCAGGAATTGTCGGGGAGGAGATTATCGCTACGCGGACGCGCGCACGCGAACCCTATAATTCCTCCGTGATTTCTCTGATAATGCCCGAAACTACTAATCACGACACATTAATCCATTTATTACGCGAGCCATCGTGAGCTTTCTCAGAAGCGAGTCGACGAGAAATTTCGGTCGGGCCGAGGCGAAGGCCGAGGTTCGGCACGCGGTCGTAGGTCCCGCGAATCGAATTAGCCGCGTGCTTCCCCGGGCATTAATCCGAGAGGAAGAGAGGAAGAGAGAGAGAAAGAGAGAGAAGGAGGGAAAAAGAGAGGCTGCTGCCGGGACCCTTCGGGCCGCTTACGAGGTAAATACCTGCAGGACGGGTGGCGAGCGGGAGCATATTGCCTGCTGCTTGGCGGTCAGGTGCGCGTTCTTACAATTCTTTTCGGCGCTCGCCGGGCCGATCACACCCGCGCCGGCGATCTGCGTCTGCGAGTCGACACCGCTCCCTTGGATCGGGCCGGATGTCAGCCTCGGCTCCAGCCCCAGGTACCTATAAATACCAGAACACGCGCCTTGTAATAACGTAATGACGGTTGTATGTCGAGTGATTAATTTAATTTCCTCGGCTCATTGCGCGCGGGTTAGGCGCGCCGCTAAATAACGGGTCGTCGCGAGTGAACGGCGCGTCGAATACTCCCCCCTCGCCCCCCATTTTTACCCTTACCTTCGTTCGTCTCTTCCTTTGATTTACGAGGCAATGATATCTCATCCAGGACCGAAGAGGAATGATATGTTATCGATTTATCGTTTAGCTAATTATCGAAGGGGAGAGGAAAAATCCACTCAATTGCGCTCGATTTCCGCTGAGAGTCATAACGAGCGCAGGCATCCTCGCGCGAGCGGGCGTCTTAATTACCAACTCTGATACCAACTCTGAGGCCCACCGTCGGATCCAGAGTCGGCACAGAGAATGCCGAGAGATAACGCGGTGGCCGACGCGGCTGTGGATCATCTTACGATGAAATACCTCGCAACGATATGTAGCGGCAGGAGCTGTGCGCGAGCTACCGACACCACGAGAGGATAGGCACGGTCTCCGCCGTGACGAAACACCTATAATTAGAGCAGGTATTCGGGTGAAAATTATAGAGGGAGAGAGGACGATGGGCCCGAGAGAGAGAGAGAGAGAGAGAGAGAGAGAGAGAGAGAGAGAGAGAGAGAGAGAGAGAGAGAGAGAGGAGAGAGAGAGAGAGAGAGAAGAGAGAGAGAGAGAGAGAGAGAGAG